CCACAAGATTTTTAATAAACAATCAATTAATTCATCTAAACCAGCAGATTTTTTTTACGTTTATTATTCCGAGAATTTCATTGGAAGAATTTCCGACAACAAATGGCGTGACCAAATTTTGGGAGGAAAGGTATGGTGCTGAAATTTGTGGTTTTAGTTCATTCGTAAGATTTAGTTTTCTAATGTCAAAACAGGACTGTCAGTGGCGTACTAAGGGCAGAAAAGTATTCCGTTCACGTTTTCGTATGTTTTTTGAATTCCTTAAAATCATTTGAATCATTAAATCAGGTGGAAACGATCCCTGGCAACAAAAAAGTGAATAAATATGTTTCGTACATATAGAAAATTATTTCCTCTAACACCATGCGAAGCCAGAATCCATTTTCTTGACACCGAAAAATTGATTGACGCAAAACGTCTAGCGTCAAAGCTAGACCCTAAAACGTTGAGCAGATTTTCTACAAAATTGATATTCCCCTATCTATTTGAACAAACTAGAGGGCCTGCGAGTTTAAAAAGGGAAATTTTGATATTTTGGGGTACTTTACATGAAGCTTCAACATTTTCAAAGTTTTCTCAAAATTCATTTCAAAATTTTGGGTTAAACTTTGTCCTCAGGTAACTCAAAATGCCTTATTTTCTTTGAAATCCCTCATTTTTTTAAATTACAAAAGTTAAATATCTTTCTACAACTACAATGAAAATAGATTTTTAAAAAAGTAAAATGTTCATCAAAAACATCGTCAAATATTGTCATATTTAATTTTTAGAAAATATGAGTAGTTTTTGCGTAGTTTTTAGTAGACAGGCGATTTAAATTTTTTTTCTCAAAATCGCTTAAAGTGTTACGCATTAAATACGAATTATGATTAGAAATTTCTCCAAAATGTAAAATGTTCCAAGTTAAAAATCCGAAAATGCAGAATTTTAACTCACAGGAGCTTAATTTCATTCATGAAGAATGCTCCATTTACGAGTTGTGGGAAAGAAAGGATTTTCTGCGCTAAAAAATTCGATCCTGGGAAAAAATTAATTTAACAGACTAAAATATATAAAAATTCATTGTTACAAGAGCCAATACAACAATATACACAAAAGAAAAATTGATTTTGCACGTTTTCTCAATTTGTACTCTGCATTGTGTTCTGAAACAGAATCTTTCAAAAGAGCGAGCGCAGACAATAATTCCTCCATAGAAAAGGGGGAGTTATAATCCTGTTTCATGCTACTTGAAAAATCCAGTGCATGAAATTCCCATTTCTCTTGTAATTGAGAAACCCCGCAGAATGCTGCGAGGAACTGGAGAAGTTCTCATAGTGAAAAGCCAGTTGCTCTGTCTTCTGGGGAGGTGATCAGATTTCCGTTCACCAGCAACATGGAATGTTCGGTGGGGGAAGTCGTCCTTCAATTTGACGGACTTTTCCATATACACCACTTTAGGAGTACGGCAGGAGAAGAAAGATATGCTCTCGTTGTGCTTTCGCTTATAGCCTTTCTAACCCTGGCTCTACACCCCTTGTATTCGATTAAATTTTCAATTGTAGGGAATCTATTCATCCTTGCCAAGCTAGTTTCCGTTCACGAACTGCGGTGGCGTAGTTTGTTTTTCCACCAGTGTACAGGATGGCGTATGGTCAGCACGGCGTTCTGTTATCGATTTGCGGTTTCGGTGAAGTGGGCAGCCTTACTATTAATGTCGTTGGGACACTGGTCCAGGATGTACAATTCCTCGCCACATTTGGCCCAATCGGCAAGAAGGATTGACCATTGGGGTGGGCAGACACCATCAAGATCAGGGAGATTTAATTGAACAAGGATTGGCCTCTTACATGGAGGTCCTCCAGAACAGTCCATTCTACAATCGTAGGAAATGACTGGCTTCAGAAAGCGAGATCGATATGGGAAAAGGGGTTCGACGTTGAGAAATGAGTGGTATGGCCAGTGTTTAGAAGAAACAAGCTGAATCTGTCTATAATATTTTCGAGAAGGATACTTCTCTGGCAAGATCTCGCTGCACCCCAGGCAGGAATATGAGCATTAAAGTCCCCAAGAATGAGAAAAGTTGGGGTCAGTTGAGAGATGAGATTCACAAGGTCATCTTGTGACACGGCTTGTCTAGGCGGGGTATACTTATAGACGTTGCAAATGATTATCAAGATAGTACGGAAATTTACACGAATGCAAGAAGCCTGAAGTAGTTCGCACGTCTATGTCTTTGAACGCCAGAGTGTGTCTGACAAATATAGACTCCGCCATGGGCACAAAGGCCGTCATCAAAGTGCCTGTAAGAACAAGAGCAGCGGGGAGAGGGAGAGAGGGAGAGAGGGAGAGAGAGAGAAAGAGAGAGAGAGAGAGAATGCTCAGGAAGACATTCTTCTTGCAGGCAGATAACGGATCTATATCGAGATATCAACTTCAATTAGTCTAAACAAGTACGAAAACTATCAAGAATCCACGAAAGGAGAACCATGATTTTTAGATGTTAAGTTGTTTTTCGTTCACCTAGAGGTATTAGATGTTTAATTTCTTTTTCTTCATTTTCGTCGTCTGTGAAAATGTGGGATGAACTCATATGGGGTTCCTCGTCCACTGCAGTCATCCTGACAGCTGCTGGAGCTAGTCGCCAGTGTCGGGAGTATTTCTGTTGGGTTTTTTTTACCCAGGTGATCGAGATCTATGAGGGCTGGAGGTTTGCTCAGGGTGAATCTCGGAAGAAGTGCACGAGACTTTGATGAGAAATTATTGTTTGGAGGCGATATCTGATTGCCATCGATTTCCAAAGAGGGTTCAGTAGAAGTCATCGGTGGCTGGTTAAGTTTTTTGCTAGATTTTTTTGTACTTCGCAGGTATTATCACATTTTTTCACCATGAATGCTCGACGTATCTTTAGGGAAGTCTATAGGCGATATCTGACAACTGAAGTACGCTACTAAAGCGAAAACGCATTGTGCTTGGCAACTTACTGCAACCACATAAAACTTAGTGTTTAGAGGATAGAAAAAAGGATCGGGACAGGTCTACTGGGTTTCTAGCATCGTGCCGACATTTGGCCTCAGGGAAGGAAACCTTTTCGGTGACCCTGATCTTCTGAATCTCTCTCCCTCGGAGAAAAGTAGGGCTATGGTTCGAGTTGGTTGGATGATCAACTTCACAGTTAGCACAATGTGGTGGTGTAGCGCTCGGTTGTGGGTCGAGCAGTGTTGTACCGCAATTCCCGCATACTGGGCTCTTCGACATACATCGTTGCTGAGTATGGCCGAACCTTTGACACTTGAAACAGCGTAATGGGTTTGGCACATACTGTCGCACGCGGAGATTGAATAAACCTCTACTGATCCTTTCCGCAGGTTCTGTTGGGATCACTTTCCCCGGCCGCTCCTTGTTGATTCTATACACCCGAGTGACGCCCTGACTCTTAGACTCGCCACTCTCCGAACTAATTCCTCGTGACAGTAGTTTTAAAGAGATTCAGAGTTGGCTGAGTCCTCACTGTCACTTAGGGAGGTCGGCAATCTGTTGGGTTTTTGCATTTTGTCAATTTACTCATCGGTGCGTGCTTAAAAAAGAACCATACCGCTCCTCTGTCACACGGCCACTTAGAACTTCCCGAATGCTTCCTCTACCGCTCGCGCCAGACAGGATTTACATTTTAACGTTTACCCTTTCTCGGCACATGCCAAAAGGAAGCGCAGCCTTTTGAGTTTATCATCCTCAGTGACAAAAAAACTATTCAGATTGACAGTTCTTCCTGGATACTTACTTTTCCTGGCAGAAAAGGATGGGGGATGTCGTTTTGGTACCATATGAGGGACCATGATTCGTCTTCGCGCTCTCCACTCACCGTAGAATCCAACAAGGGTCACCCCACTGGGATGCCATGGTTGAGGATAGAGGGGGGGTGACACGGTGCTACATCGCCATGGATCCCCCGCTCACCCTGGAGTTCAGTACAAGTGTCCGAGGCGATTGATCGGGAGTGGGTTAGCTCCCGATTACCCGTCTAGAAGAGGCTGAGGCCAAAGAATGAGTATTGCCACCAACAAAGCGCAGAGACCTTAGCAGCAGCACGAAGATAGCGGTTTCGAGCGACATCGCGGACGTCTGGTCTGTAGAGGAGCGACCGTGCTGCCAGAATTTGGATCAAGGTCAGGCACACGACGAGGGAGAACAGAGGTCGGCACAATCCATTGCTGAGAGCGCGACGGCAATTGACAAATTACCAGGTACAAAATTTGAAACTGGAATCTAGGCCGGCGGCGCTACGAGCATGCGAGCGCGGCAGAAGAAAGACTGAATTCTAGCAAATTTGCATAAACCGGTAGATTTCGTTGCGGTCCATCCCACAAGTGATATCTCAAAAAGGAGACTTGTAATCCGTGAAGTACGTTTCATGTTTAATACTTAAAGGAAATTCATTGTAAATAGATGTGTGATCTAATAAGTAATTGTGCACTAATTTGTTGCGAGAATTCGTAGCTGAAAACTTAATAGAATATAAGAAATAACTTCATTTGTTTTGTGGTGATTGAGCACAGTAAATTGACATTTTATAAACGTTACTGGCCAAGCAAGCAATAACCGTACAGGGGTTGTCCTAGAACGCAGTTAATTAGAAATAATCATTTAAAGTATTATTTGGTAAATAAAAATTTTAAAGGAGTATTTGTAATTTCCAAAGCATTGCAAAAGGGCGATTTCACTTCACCCTTTTGTGAAATCACCCCTATATATATCGCGGTTCGTTTGTTCAAGAATACAAGTGATGGTTGAAGTATAAGCACAACAAATTTTCACATTACAGTATTTCGTAACAGTTACCAATAACTATATGTGTTGTAGCACCACTGGTTTGTTTGTCGAGGTGATAAGTGGATAATAACATTATTACATTTAACAATATAAAGTATATTAATATTATGTATGAGCCGCTTAATATTTTATTTTCATTCAATACAGAGCCATTGACTTTCTAATTTGCAATAAAGAGTGACAATACTTACATATATGTTTTGGGTACAATGAAGTCGAGAACATACCTGAAACTGAAGAAAAATAAGTGTTAAAATACTCCATACACTGTTACGAATACTTGCGTGTTGACGCACGCTGTTGACACTGAATTAATGTGTTAAATTGAAATTAAATGGAAATTTACGTAGCTCACAATAGAAAGATCAACAAACGACATACAATGTTTTGCAGAGTGCCATTAAGCCTTCAATATTTGGGAGAATGGTTATATGAAATTAGTGTCAACAACAAAAATTATTTTATCCCTCATAACTTCAATGTAATTACACACTTGCCATCAATCAGAAATAAACAACTCAACCAATTCAAGTAAGTCAAATATGAACCACTACTATTACCACTCCTGCTACTACTAGTCTCCTCTTTCTACTACTGCAACTACTAAATACTACTACCACCGCTACTACTATCTACTCTTCTCCTCTTGCTGCTACCCCTCTATTACTAGAAAAATTCTCCTTCTACTACTACTACTACTACTACTACTACTACTACTACTACTACTACTACTACTACTACTACTGCGACTACTGCTACTACCGTTTCCTTTCTCCTGGTTCTACTTTTCTTTCCTCCTATTTTTCTCTTCCTTCTACACTATTATTTTCGTCCTCCTACTATTCTCTTCCCCATTCTACTATCCTTTTCCTCCCACACACTACTACTACTACTACTACTACTACTACTAATTCCACTATTACATTTCCTTTCTAGTATTCCTTGTACTACTCCTGCTACTTATACATTTTACCAAAATGATTTTTAATAAAATCATTAATCTACTACACATACCAAATTTCATGCACATAGGCTTTTAATGCATTCCAATTCATCTTCAATTATTACAGATCTTCAGAGAGAAACAACAAAATCTCTCAACTCACTATTTAACATTGTGAGTTTATCATGAATCTAAGAAAAATCTCAAACATGAAACAAGAGGTAGGTTTGAACAAGCATTACTTAAAAATAAGCTGAAGGAAGAAAAAGTAATTATTAATATATCTATTAATAAGACAAGGTTATAAAAAATGAAGCATGTAATGCCCATGACACAATTCACTATTTTTAAAATAAAATAAAACAAAACATATAAAAATAATGAAATGAAGACAAAATATTAATAAGAAATCTAATGGTGATATTCAAAAATTTTCTATCATGAAGTGCTATATTTTCTTCAGACAAGATCTTGATTAGATTAATAAACGGAGCAAACACCGCCTCAGAAATAAGTTCTTCCCAGTTACTGACTGAAAGGCAATAAGAAAGAATCTATACACAAATGATAAGGGTTTATTCAACAGGCTACAACCGTGATGAGGTCAACGTTTCCTCAACTAAAAAAAAAAAAAAGTTAAATTCGGTAAAGGAGCCAGCACATTTGCTTTCTATCTTTGATACCGCGATTTGTGGAGTGATAATTCGGCCATCTGAATCTGATCTACACTAAACAGTTTGTGGCAGGTTTTGATGTCTTAGCTTTTCCTGCTATCATCTTCACATTCACGATTCAGAAAACTCATTATATGAGTAATAACTGCCATGACTATCTCATCAGAGAGGGGTAAATCGAGACGTTGGGCCGAAAAGTCATAAATCAAGAGATGCAAGTCAGAGGAGTACGGGAGTGCTTAGTTATAAAAAGGGAACGGACGCGTTTGTATGTGATGTAACACGCTAATTTCGAAGTATATTTTTGTTGGGAAGGGGGGGGGCATTCACCTGCTGCTGTCACTTCGGCTGGGCTCACTTGTACGGCTACGGCGATCAAGTAAGTGCACTCTTTGTGGATTCTGTTAGTTAAATCAAGCTGCTCTTCTAGGAATTTTCTTACTAAATTACATGAATTCCACAATTACCGATTTTTGTATTGTCATCTGCAGTTTTCCGGCTCCTAATGTCTCGAGTTGACGCTTTGTCGATTTTAATACTACTCCGGAATTCGAGATTATTATAGGTTCAATGGTGACCTTTTTTACCTCCCAGAGTTTCTCTATCTCATCTGCCAAATACTTACTAATCTTCGTATTGTAGGTAATACTGGTGTTATGAGTGCGAGGGATGACAATGTCAATAATATGCACCTCTTGTCTACTTGTGTCCAAGAACAGGGCGGTTGGCTGGTACACTAACATCTATTCTTATTTTTCTCTCCCAGTGTAGCCTCATATTCTGGTTGTCAATAACATCCAAAGGTTCGTATTTAAAGTAAGGGATTTTCATTATGTTTCTTAATAAGTGCTGATGGAAGATTTACGCCACATTGTTATGTCTCTTAATGTATTATGTGCTTGCTACAGGTTGACACGAGGTTATGATGAGTTTTTATATTTCCTACATTTATCATCTATGTTTGCTTCCTTTTGGACATACTTTCGATAGTTTCTTGTTGGTATAACCCTGTCTTGAATATCCATCATGAACCATGTTGTCTCGCAAAATAAGTTGTCTTTCCTAATCCATAAGTGTGTTAACTCCTAGTCAACATCCTCGTTCTCCAGCTGAATGGCATACAATCCATGCAGTGCTTTTGATTTCCAGTCTGTGTTCTGATTCTCAGTTGATTTCACTGCAAGGCGAAATTCGTATTTGCGAGATGCAAGGGTGTTGCATTCACATCGGCTTTGCAAATGACCCGAAACATATCGACAGATACCAGTTTCCTGTGAAAGTATTGTCTCAGGTTGTTATTTTTGTGCCGAGGAGACGAGCGATGTCAACTATGCCGTTCCTCCCATCGATGCGGGGAGGGTATCTCGCTCTATTGCAGCTTTCGGGTGTCTCATTCGGTGATCTGCTGTGTTCCGATCAATCTTGAAATGTCTTCCAGATCTGATAATGAACATTTAATAATTCCAAATGAATATGGAGTACTGGGATTGCATATGTGTTACTGGTTATTTATTTCTGCTGTAAAGTTGGGTTTTAAGTATGCTTCTGATTCTTTGCAAAAAAATCTGTTTCAGATTCACTTTATGTACATGTGATCAATTCCTTTCAGTTGTTCGATTCCAAGGTATTTATACTGAACAGAGATATCAAGATATTTGAACGTGGATAGAGTTTCACTTGTCAAACCCAAATTCCATACGTACTCTTGGCACTGACCCGGGTGGCCATGTCAAGAAGTTGATGGAGCTGTCCTCTTGACTTTGCATAAAATTTCAAATCGTCTATATACAAAAAGTGATTGATCACATAGTTCTCTTTTGGTGGAGCTGTTAGTGTGAATTCATAAGCTGTATTATTAAATGATTCACTGAGAGAGTTCAGTGCTATACAAAACCGTAAAGCGCTCAGTGAGTGAACATGGAAAATGCCTTTGTTGATTAAGATGGTTCTTGAGGTTATAGTGCAATCATTGGCAAAAAAGGTGTAGAACGGTTCCTGCATCATATGTTTGAGGAAGTTCATTAGTTTTGTGTCCACGTTACATAAAGAATGTCAATTAAATGTGAGTGAAGGACTGAGTCAAATGCTTTTTTGTAATCAATATATGGCATGCTGATATTTCTTTTTTGTCATTACTTGTGATTCTATAACATATCTATTATCAGTTGTTCTTTGAATGCTTTTGAGGGCCTATAGCATCCCTTCTGTTCTTCAGTCATACTGTTTTCTTCTAGATGTGTGAGGATCCTGTTTGTGATAATGGCTGTTAAGTATTTGTACATTGTGGGTAGACATGTTATTGGGCGATATTGAACTGGGTTTTGTGCATGATGAGCTTTTGGTATTAAAACTGTTTTACCTCTGTATAAAATACAGGAGTATTCTCAGGAGACATAATGATGTCATTATAATAATCTGCAAGGTTCTTGTATATACAGATGAATTGTTTAAATTAGGAATTTTGGATGTGATCAATCCAGGCGCTTTCCAGTTGTTTCCTTTATTACTTATCTTATATCGTCGTCATTCATATGTACGGGTTCCATTATTTCAATTTTTCCATTCCTTTTCTCACAGCAGTTAGCGCCAAGCTGTTTGGGCCATTGTGAGCAGGCTGTTCCCCTGATACTGGACCAAAAATTTGTGATTTATTCTTCAGTTGGGTCAGTATTTAGGTTATCTCCTTTATTGTATTTATGTTGAGCCTTAATCTGGAGTTTCCTGTAAAATAACTTTTGGTTCTGGAACTCTGCGTTTTGCCTTTTTCGAATGGCAGTAGTCTTGTACATTCGGAGTCATATGGAATAATCTACTAGCTGTTGAGTGTTCTGATCTATTATTTCCATTTTTGGATCTCACTCCCCCCTTATATTGTGTAAGTCTTCCAAGCTTTTACCTCAGTAGACTAATACGTTTTTCTAATCTGCCTTTCCAATTGGGTTTTTCATTATCTGTCGCATGATTGGTTAGTAAGTTAAGTGTTGTGTCCTGTATTTACGTAGATAAATTCAGAACTGTAGCTGCACTACAGTATACAATGTGATGAAGTTCCTCCAATGTTTTTTCTGTTGTAATTCAACTGGTATAATTTTCACGTTAAGGATACGTATACTCTCCATTTCTGCGGTTATATTTTTCGGTTTTAATAACTTCGGTTTTGTATTTGGATCAATCCCATAAAATCTGGTGCGTGTAGTATAAAACTCCTGCTTAATTGTAGAACTTAGGGCCTCTCTACTCTGACTACTAATTTCTGACATCTTCTCTACTTGTGTTTAAGCTGTGTAGAATGTTATGGTTGGTTGTGTCATTAGGACATTGAAACGGTGGGATCGGGGGGGGGGGAGATTGTCATTGTTTTAACGCCATCTTGATAAGATTATAATTATATTATTTAAAATTAATTCATGATATGTACTACTCGTGTATCTTGGTTTTATAACCCAGAGGGATAACTGAAATCTAACTTCAGTACTGGATCTGTCAGTGTTTAGGGAGTTCCTGATTATGTTACAGGTGTCCATGATGCCTATCTTTTGCAACTGAATGTGCAATCCCTTCTTCAGTTATCGTTCAGGCAGGAATTCATGTAAGAACTTGGAAATTTTAC